CTGCTGGTGCAAGGTCAAAAGGAACCTTGACTTTGCTGGACTCACTCTCAGCTGAGAGTTCACGAATAGGACTGCTCCAGCCAGTCTGCTATAAATTCTCTGGACTTCTAGCTTTGGGGTATTATCCAGAACAAAAGCAGAAGAACAGCACTGTATCTGAAGAAAATACAGATTTTAATAGTTCTTGTTGATGTGTTTTTTTCTGTTTTCATGTATGCTGCTCAGTATCTTTATGCATCCCGTGGATTCCACCTCTGAGCCTCAAGCTTTTTACGTGCTTTCAGGCGCTTTCTTTGTAGATCAATGAGAAGCGAGACCCAAACCCATCTTTCCTGTTCCAAACTTTCTGGCTGTACTCTTATAAAGTAAGCGATTCTGCCTTGCAGTATTTCTTAGGGAGTGGCTATTTTATGGTGTGAGAACATAATTAACAAGTATAAAATTAATGATGCCAGTAAGAAAACATAAACATTTGCATTGTTGTGTATTTTCATGTACCTTAAGCACTTCATGGACGTTAGAGTGATCTGTTCCCATCATTTGCCTATGCACACCTTTTGTTTCATTATTCTATTTATGATACTACCAAATACTAATGGTTCTTAAAACACTTAGAATCTGTAAAATCCAGTTCAACTGAATTTGTATTCTAAAAGCATAAAGAACACCAAGCCAGGCTTTGAAAGGAAAAGAGATTTGCAGGATAGATTTGCAACATTCAAAAATATTTCTTCCGAAACTTCAGGAAACATGACTAGATTTCTGCAGCACAAGAAGTCAGTGTTCTATTTGAATTTTACACTTACTGTTCTTTTTTCACTAAATGCAAGATGATTTTAATTCAGACCATTTGAACGTAGTACCAACAATCTCCTTACTGAACGTTTTCTTTTTGAGCAGCATTTGTTTACTGCTGATCCTTTTTTTTTGAGTATGCTTGTGATGAAACCTACCCTTCAGTTACTTTTTGAGGTTGCCATTTAACAAGTGCAAAAGAACCCATAGATCAGCATTTTTATGCAGGTTTGTTTGTTTTTTTTAATTAGGTAAGGCACAGCAGTTCGCTCCTGTGCTTAAAAGTTACTGTATAATCCTAAGACTTACAGAATGGCATACATGGGCAGATGTTGAATTTCTTTTTTTTAAATCAGTGCCTGTTTTTTTTTTAATGTACATACTATGTCAGTTCCTCAATTTGCAGTTATCTTTTGACAAAAGTACTGTAACATATAACCAGGGCTTTCTGATGGTCAGTTTGGTTCAGAACAATTAATTCTGCAAAGTGTTAATGGTGTAGAATTTTAAGAGTTCTCATGGACTGTTTTGGCAGCATGTTATTAAAAGAGTTGGCCTCTTAAGTATGCCAGACTTAGTAGGACAACTGAAAGCTTCTTAGATGCAAAGAAAATGCTTGCACTAATGTATCTTAAGTTATATTTCATTTATGATGAAGTCCTTTTTGATTTTACAAGAAATGTAAGACAAATATGAATGTGTTCTTTTGAGAAGCAGTTACTATATTTTGATTTAAATAACTGTTATGATTTTATAGTTCACAGCTGTAAACCACAAAGACCAGTTCATGCTGAAGTGGCAAAATGAAATGTGATCCAGCTTGTAAATTGATCATTGTTTCAATAAAGAATTTGCACAGAGTATGTTGAGTTTGTACACACTCAACAAGATGATGGTTTCCTACTAAGAATATGCCATGGTTCCAGTTCAAGTGGAAGTGAACTATATCTTTCATTGTACATCTGCTAATATTCCAGAAACTTTGATCAGGAGAAGCAGTTATTTACCTAGAAGGGAAGTTTTAATACCCCTCTGAAAGGGGGCTGTTTTCCTTTATTCAGAATATAGACCCAATTGTTAATTGGTGGTGTTAGCAGTACCCTAGACTGCTCATCTATGCAACATCATTAGAAACATGTCTGCA